CGGCAGTTTGCGAGACTCCGGAGAATCCCGCCGCAGGCGCCACAGTTTCAAATTATATAACGCACCCGCCGCATGCGTCAATTTTCTCGTTAAACCAATGTGGGTAGGTCGCGGGCGGGTCGTGGGTGGGTCGCAGTTGGATCGCGGGTGGGTCGCGAGTGGGTCGCGGGTGGGTCGCGGGTGGGTCGCGGGCGGGTCGCGGGTGGGTCGCGGGTGGGTCGCGGGCAGGTCGCGGGCAGGTCGCAAGTGGGTGGCGGGTGTGTCGCGGATGGGTCGCGGATGGGTCGCCGGTGGGTCGCGGGGTGGGTCGCGGGGTGGGTCGCGGATGGGTCGCGGGTGGTGGGTCGCGGGTGTGTCGCGGGGTGGGTCGCGGGTGGGTCGCAGGTGGGTCGCGGATGGTACGACGACAACAAACAAACAAACAAATAAATAAACAAACAACAACACAACAAACATAGTTCTCACCACGGACCGCCACTGCAGCCACGCACCCAGGGACAACGAAAGACCGTCCGGCCCCTTCATTCTGATATATATGTATATATATATATATATATACATACATACATACGTATTAAACAAATGAGCGTTTTCTGTGAGCTTCGTTTGGAACGGGGGGAGGTTCGACCCCCCCCTCGGATCCTAGGCGTGGGGGGTCGACCTTCCCCCCTCCGCTTCGGCGACACGATTGCGAGGATGTCTCGAGCGGCGGCGCCGCGGTTGAGAGGATGTCTCGAGCGACGCCGACGTGGTTGAGAGGACGTCTCGAGCGGCGGCGCCGCGGTTGTGAGGACGTCTCGAACGCCCGCGCCGCGGTTGTGAGGATGTTTCGGGCGGGATGTTTCGAGCGATGGCGCCACGATTGTGGGGATGTCTCGAGCGGCGGCTTCTCGCGCGCTGGTTCGTTTTTCCTCTGTTTGTTTTTCTGCCCCTGGACCGTTTGCTCGCACCCAGGATCGGTTTCTCGTGTTCTCGTTTTCTCATAACCTGGGTCGTGGTCTCATTTTCTCGGACCCTGGTTTATTGTTTCGTCTTCTCGGCCCCTGGGTCGTGTCGGACCCCAGTATGTGTTTGCGTTGTCTCTGACCTTGGTTAGTTTTCTCGTTTGTTTGTCCATGGGTCGTGGTTTCGGTTCTTCGGACCCCGTCTCTTCTTCCGTTTTCTTGTTTTCTCGGCCCTTGGGTCGTGGTCTCGTTTTCTCGGATCTTGGTTCGTTTTCTCGTTTTCTCCTGCTCTCGGCCCCTGGGTCGTGGTCTCGTTTTCTCTGACCCTGGTTCGTTTTGTCGTTTTCTGGTTTTCTCAGCGCGTCGGTCGTGGTATCGTTTTCTGTGGCCCTGGTCCGTGTTCTTGTGGTCTCGTTTTCTCGCCCCCTGTGTCGGGGTCATGTTTTTATCTGAACTTGGTTTATTTCGTTGTCTCGTCTTCTTGGCCATTGTGTCGGGGTCTCGTTTTCTCGGGCCCTGGTTCGTTTTCTCGTTTTCTCGGTCCCTGGGTCGTGGTTTCGTTTTCTCAGACCTTGTTTGTTTCCCCGTTTTCTCGTTTTCTCGGCCCCTGGGTCGCATTTGTGGTGATGTCTCGAGCGGCGGCGCCGCGGTTGTGGGGTTGCATCGAGCGGCGGTTCTGCGATTCCGGGGATGTCTCGAGCGGCGGCGCCGCGGTTGAGAGGATGTCTCTAGCGGCGGCACCGCGGTTGTGGGGATGTGGCGAGCGGCGGCGACGCGGTTGTGAGGATGTCTCGAGCCGCGGTTGCGAGGATGTCTCAGGCGGCGGCGCCGTGGCAAGCGCGGGGGGGGAGGAGGGGTTTCAACCCCCCCCCCCTTGAATTCCGGGTTGTGGGGGGGAGGTATTCGAACACCCCCACCACACTGGATGGGGGGGGGGTAAAGGGGGGGAGGCCCCGAGGGGATACATCCCAGTTCGCGCACGTGTCGTGAGACTTTTCCTAGGCAAGCGAACTTGAAAAGCGCTCTCTCTGTTTCTCTCTCCCTCTCTCTCTCTCTCTCTCTTCATTTCTCTTTTTCTCTCTCTCTCTCTCTCTCGCTCTCTCTCTCTCTCTCTCTCTCTTTCTCACATATATGTATGCGGGTGTGTATATATATATATATGTATGGAACGTCCTAAAGAAACCCGGCCGCCTTCAACGGCGGGCCGCGGCCTATTCTACGATAGGGGTTTTCGGCTCAAAGGCCACTCTACCCACATCATCACCCCCTGCCTGAGAAGCTCACGGAGCAGTTTGCCATTCCGTGCGCGCTGTTTGCGGCAGAGAGACGTGCTCAACCTCTTGCGTTATCCCGCCTCTTTCTCCTGCCTCATCATGATCATGCGCCCTCCTCCTCTTCCTCCTCCTCCTCCTCTTCCTCCTCCTCATCTTCCTCCTCCTCCTCTTCTCCTCTTCCACCTGCCCTCTTCCTGTGCTGCCCCATCGTCCTTCCCCTCCCCGCGCCTCGTCATCCTGATATTTCTCCTGTAGCCTCCTCCTCATCACCCTCCTCTTCCTCCTCCTCTCCCTCCTGGTCTTCCTGTTCTCCATATTCACCACCACCACCACAAGCATCACCACCATCATCATCATCATCATCATCATCATCAGCAGCATCATCATCATCATCACCATCCGCATCATCATCATCATCATCAGCAGCAACAGCATCATCATCATCACCATCCGCATCATCATCATTATCATCATCAGCATCATCAGCACCGACATCATAATCACAATGGTCATCATCATCATCAGCAGCAGCAGCATCCTCATCCTCATCCTCATCCTCATCCTCATCACCACCATCAACAGCATTATCAACAGTTTCCTCATCATCATCCTCATCGCCACCACCAGCGACATGATCATCATCATCATGGTTCCTCATGCTCATGCTCACCACTGCCAGCACAATTGACATTTGTGCCATCATAACCATCGCCATCATCATCCGAATCACCATCTCTGGCACCACCATCATATTCAGCACCACGAGCGTCAATATCCGCATCGTCTTCATCGTCGTCCTGCCTCACCCTGCCTCCTTGGTGCTCCTACCTCCTCGTCCTCCTCCCTCCCTCCTCCTCCTGCCTCATGATCATCCTGCTCCTGTTCCTTCTCCTCCTCCTCCTCCTCCTCCTGATGTTTCCTCATCCCCGTTCTTCTCGTCCTCCAGGGCGCGGAGGAAACCGCTCACACACCTCACTGCTTCTCGCCGATGAAGCCAGAGCAAGCCGCTGGTCGGATAACCCATTTGAGGTGCAGGTCCCTGGAAAGGGGGTAACCTGAGGCAGGGGTCTTGATGAGACTTCCACAAGATCCAGCCCGCAGGAGCCCACAACTGAAGTCACTTACACATTTGCCGGTGACCGCTTCGGCTTACTAAATGAAGTGCGGGCCACACAGGGAGGAGGCTCCCGCTCGACAGTTCCTGTAGATCACTCACAGACGAGACTCCCGCTCGAGACTCTCACTGTTAAAATTTCAGGAGGTTTGAGGATGGCCGCCTCGAATTACTAACATGAAGTGCGGGCCCCAAAGGGAGGGGGCCCCCGCTAGAGACTCCCTCGTGATTCACGCACAGACTCACAGACCAGGTTCCCGCTGGAGACTTCGGCAAGAGTCTGACCTCAGGAGCAACAGTGACGACAGTTACAAATTTGAACACGGCCGCCTCGAATTACTAACATGAAGCGCGGGCCCCATGAGGAGGGGGGTTCCGCCAGAGACTTCCTCGCGAGTCACTCAGTGACGAGGGCCCCGTTCGAGAAGTTCCTCAAGAGTCACGATTCAGGGCACCCGAAGTGGCGGCAAATACAGGTTCAAGGGTGACCGTCTCGGACTACTAACATGAAGTGCGGGCCCCATACGGAGGGTTCCAGACTTCCCGCGATTCACCCACGCTGTGAATGAATCGGGAGGGAGTCCGGAACCCTCCCTATGGGAGCCTCGTCTGTGGGTCTCGCAGACGAGGTTCCCGTTGTAGACTTCCCCAATATTCAAGCCCCTGGATCCCAAACGTGACGACAGCTCGAAAGTTAAAGGTTTGAGGACGCCCGTTTCGAATTATCAACATAAAGCGTGGGCCCCAGGGAGGAGGGTCGCACTGCAGACTTCCTCGCGATTCACTCACAGACGAGACGCCCGCTCCAGGCATCAGGAGCCCGAAGGTGACGACTGATACAGGTTTACGGACGACCGCCTCGGATTGCCAAAATGAGCTGCAGGCCCCATAGGAAAGTAGCTCGCGCTCGACGTGCTGTCTAAGTTCTCACAGACGAGGCTCCCGCTGGTGACTTCCTCAAGAAGAACACGAAGGTGTGTGAGTGAGTGTGCGAGTGTGTGAGTGCGTGTGTCCACGATGATGGCGATGACGATGCTGATGCTAGTGTTGCTGATGATGATGCTGTTGCTGATGATGATGATGATGAGGATGGCGATGAGGATGATGCTGATGGTTATGATGGTGGTGATTGTGATGGTGGTGGTGATGCTGTTAATGATGGTGATGATCATGATGATGGTGATGATGATGATGAATACTGATAATGATAATACTGATGGTAGTTATAACGATCATGATAATGATGATGACAATGATGATGATGATGATGCTGCTAATGATGATGACGATGATGATGTTGTTGATGATGATGTTCGTGATGCTGATGATGGTGATGGTGATGATGATGACGATGATGATGATTGTGATGATGATGGTGATTGTCATGATGATGATGTTGTTGATGATAACAAGTATGGTGATGATGATGATGATGGTGATGGTGATGGTGATGATGATGATGATGATAATGATGGTTATGATGATGATGATGATGATGATGATGATGATGATAATGATGATGATGATGATGATGATGATGATGATGATGATGATGATGGGGGGGCCTGTTCCTTCCCGTTCCTTCGTGGGGGCGCCCAGAGAATCCAAAATCGCACTCAGTAGGGTCTGGGGAGCATGTAAAGTTTCACATCACAAAACAAAAACGAGGCCAGCGCACCAGCGCCGGCAAGAGCCCCAGCGCCGGCAAGAGCCCCAGTGCCGGTGCCGGCGAAGGCGCCGCCAAGGGCGCCTCCGCCGAGGGCGCCTGCGCTGGCAAAGGCGCCAGCGAAGGCACCGGCGAAGAAGGCAGCGGCGAAGGTTCCAGCGAAGGCGCCGGCGAAGCAGGTGCTGGCGAAGGCACCGGCGAAGGTTCCAGCGAAGGCGCCGGCGAAGCAGGTGCTGGCGAAGGCCGTGGCGAAGAAGGCAGCGCCGGAGGTTCCAGCGAAGGCGCCGGCAAAGGCGGCGGCAAAGGCGGCGGGGGGCCCCCTTCTGCGCCCACTCGGATTCTGAACCCGTTCGGCTGCCGAGCCTCCGAGCGTGTGGAGGGCGAGCCGCGTCAGCTTTCGGGTGTGCGTGGGGACGCCTCGCGTTTCTGCCAGAGCGCTCCTCGGGGCAGGTGCCTATATGCGACGGCCTGCATGTGGCGGGATGGCAGTAATGAGCTCATTGGAGACAGAAGCTGTCCTCACGCACAGGAGCGAGCCCATGTTGCCGCCGGGCGGGCCTGGTTTCCAGTAGCATCTTGGAATTGAGCCTAGTCTCCGCGGACGGCTTCTGTGCACCGTACCGCGTTGGCGTCTCCCGAGACGTCTTCGATCCTCGACCCAGCCAGAAATGGTACGTTGCATACGGTGGGGGCGTTGGTTAAGGACTGTGCCCTGGAGGCTGCAGACCCTGGATGGGTCCTTATCTGATGAGGGAAGCGGTGATATCCATGGCCAATCCACAGTTGGAGTCCCGCCGGCTTCCAGACCCTGGATTCCTTATCCAATGCTTCCTTGACCAATGCCCCCACCGTAGTTTTCCTGGCCTCCAGGCCAGAAACGTATTCGCCATAGCGTGTTCAAGTGGCGCCCTAATGGGGGTCCAAACATGGTGCGGTGCGTGTGCCCCGTTCTCGCACATTCGGCAGCCGAGCTGGCTCAGACGCCGAGCGCGCTCAGAACGGAAACCCGGGGGGGGGCACGGAGGGCAAGAGTCTCGAGGACGGGTCAGTCGGTGAACGCTCGTGATACAAGAGAACGAAGAGGAGAAGGAAGAGGCCGACAATGGGGAAAAGGGAGGTGGAGGAACAGTCGGACGAGGGAGCAAAGGAGGGAATGGGCCGTGTAGAAGGAGCAGGATGACGGCAAAGGAAAGAGAATGCCCAGGATCTCAGGGAGAGTTCGAGGAGAATGAGACAGAGGATCTGAAGGTGGAGCCGAAGGCGGAGGCGGTGGAGGACGGTGAGGAAGATAAGGAGGACTACGGGCGGTGGTGGGGGAGGAGGAGAAGCCAGACCTCCGACGCCGTGATTTCTTTCAGGACTTACGAGATGTCCAGAACTCTTGACCCCTTCCAGGGATGCGGTTTTACATCCCAAGTCGTTTTGACGGTCCCAGCGCAAGGAAGGAGAAAGAGGAGGAGGAGGAGGAGGAGGAGGAGGAGGAGCAGGAGCAGGAGGAGGATGAGGAGGGAAGAGGAGGCCCCTAGGCTGGAGAAGACAGCACTAGCGAGGTCGGGAGGTCTGATTATTGTGGATCGCGTGCGCCTGCAAAGATCTCGGTACCAACTCGAATCAGCACAATGATGATTCAATCAATTGCAGAAGTACGTTGATGTTTGTCCACCAGAGTCGTCGGCAAAACGAGAGTGGAAAACAAAGACTAGCATCTGCGGCGTATGCTCCGACCCAGCTTCCCTCTCAGCTCTCCTCCTTCCTCGTTGCTCCACCCTCTCCATGCTTTCTCATTTCTCTACCGTCTGGCTCCTTTCTTCATCGACCTTCTCTTCGTGCTCCTCCATTTGTGAGACTTGTATCGGCGCGGGTGCATGTCAGGTCAGGGGCTTCGGTGCCTGGCATGGGCTCTTCCCGCACCGTTGGGTTTGGCGCGGCCTCTCGGGCGTGGCAAAACGGTTCCAACAGGTTTCCTCCTGTTCCTCACCCCCCCCCCGCCCTTCATTCCGCAGGTATTCCTTCCCTCCCTCCCATGATGGCGTGTATCCTTTCTACCATTCTGTCGAATTCACTCCGGAGCTTGAACGTTGCCCCGTCTTGAAGCTCGCGTCGAGCTCTCGCTGATGTAAAGGGCCTCGACCCTCCATGGAGGCAAAGAAAGAGAGGGCAGCGAAGAGGCAAGGGAAGGGTCTGCTTACCCTCCCCCCTCCTCGCACACGATGCCCGCGGGTGCGGGCTCCCGCGGGCGCGATCGGCCGCCCGGCAGTGCCCGCGGCGACCTTCTTCTCATCGGAGGCCTTTCGGCGTGTCCCCGATGCGAGCCAGATCGTCACCGTCATCACCATCCCCATCATCAACACCATCGTCGACACCATCATCGACACCATCATCGACATCATCATCAACACCATCATCGACACTATCATCGACATCGACACCTCTTCCCCCCCTCCTCGCACACGTGTGCCGTTGCAGCGGTCACTCTCGTCAGGCCCCGCGGGGCGGGCCGCGGGGAGCGACGGCGCTCCGCTGCGCAGAGGATGCAGTCGACGGATTTGCGGCGTGCTCGACGCGGCGTACTCGACGCGACGCAGTCGACGGATCCTTCCCGCCCACAGGATACCCAGCAAGGAACGAATGCCCGCTGGAGGCCCGCCGCCCGCCCGCTGGAGGCGGCCGTTCCTGCCCAACGCAGGCTCAAGACGGACGGGGCAAATGCGACCCCCAGTCCAAAACGAGCCCACGCGGGCTGTTCCTGAGGATGGCGACGATCTTGACCCCACCCACAGGGTACCACGCGAGGAGCGAATGCCGCCGCACACTCTGCTCGCGTCACGGGGGCTCTGTCCTGGAGCGGCGGTCACGGCCAGCACGGGGTCACATTGCCCCTGTTGGGGCACGGGGCCAACACGGCCTCACATCAGCCCCGTTGGGCTTCCGAGGGCTCCCCCCCTGAGGGCTCTCCCCCTGAGGGCTCCGGAGAGGCGTCACACAACGTGCCTGCCAACACGGGTGCGTGATTGCCGCAAGTTGGCAAAGTTACAACACGCGGCCAAATCGATGTTCCAGGAGCCGCAGCTGCGATAGATGAGACCCGTGCGCACCTATGTGAGGAATGCCAAAGTCATGTCATAGCAGACGTTCGCGTGTGGCGCGGGCAGCATGTTTCCCCCATCGACACAGACGAGTTTTGGACCATACGGCGTCACAAAGAACTCCCACCAGCAAGGAGAACAAGATCGCCCCTCGCAACCGCAAATGAATGACTCGACGTTTCATTGACGAGTTACGTAGTGTGAGCTGGTAAGGAGGACACCCAACGACGCTGCAACCAAGAGATCATGCGAGTAGTTGGGGGCTTCATCCGTCCATAGGCCCGAAACGAATGACCACCACGAAGTCGCCGAGACGAAAACGTCTCGAGATGCCCGAGCAGCGTGTAGAACGACGCAAAGCACTTCAGGTCCGACGTGGCAAGAGCGCATTCCGAGCTTACCCGTCAGCGCACCAGCCAAATGACCCGAGCAATTCGAGTCGGGACGTCTCTTCCCAGAGCAAGACGTCGATGGCGATCATTGCGATCGCCGTCGCCGTGTCGGGCTGGCCGATCTGATGGTCGCGCCGAACGCTGAAGTGTCGTTCGCCGCCTAGAAGAAAGTAGATGCCAGTTTGATGAACGCATGCGGGACAGCCGTCTTGTCCACCAGAATGTCCCATCATGCTTTACGCAAGAATGTAGAAGCGACGCAGACAGCAGGAAGGACAGGAGAACCCGCAGAGAGAGAGAGAGAGAGAGAGACTATCAAGACACCTCACAGCTGCACGCGTCCACGATGCATGAGCACTGTCGCAGTCCATGTCCCAGCCCCCAGCGTAGCCATTGCCACACCCAGCCCTCCACGGCGGGCTGTAGCGATTGGCTGGCGACATCGGTGCCACCAGACCAGGCGACCCCAGACGGAGACCAGGTCAGACCACAGCATCCGTGCCACCAAGACTGTCCAAACCACTGATTGCCCACGAGGAACGCACACGTACACGTCCGAACGCGCATGCTAGCGGGGAGAGGAAGTGCAAGAGCAAGCGGACAAGGAGAGCACGCACGATTCGACGAGAGAGGCAGTTCGCGAAAGAACGAGCGAAATCGAACGCAAGCAAGCTAGCGAAGACGAAGCCCAAAGCAGGCATCCTCCTGAGGAAGGGGTGGGCGGGACGCCCCATCCACTCCCCCGTGAGGGGGGTCTTGGCTAGCCTTGATGGCCCTGTACATGGCATCCGTGCCGGACGCCTCGCGGGCGCAGATGCCTAAGAGCCGAGACCTGCCGGCAGAAGTCCAGGCACGGCAAGCACACCGACGGCAGCAGACGAGGGGGCCGGCGATGCACAGCTACGGGCGATGCACGCCGCCTCGCGAAGCAGCCACCGCGGGGCTGCCCCGCGGCCTGCAGGCCCCGAGCCCACCTCGGGCTTCGGCGCCGGCGTGGCGCCCACCGCGGTAGTGTGGGCGGCGCTCGGCTCGTCTGTGCGGAGGCGGGCGGCCCGTGCCGGCGCCGCCCGCCTCGCGTTCTACACCCCCAGGCCCTCGGCCGCGAAGAAGAGGCCGGAGCGGATGATGGAGGAGGTCTACCAGGGCGCAACTAAGGAAACCCGTGATTCAACTAAGGAAACCGGTGATTCAACTAAGGAAACCCGTGATTCAAGGTTGTCGGCACAGACGAAAAGATCCAGGATCCATCAAAGCAGTGCACTGGCATGGGGCCCTTCGTGGAATGCGTTGGCCCGGTCTACAAGCAGGGGCCGATCGTCTAGGGCTACGACAAGTTCTTGCTGGACCCCACAATCTACGATGAGAGATGCGGGCTGGAACCGCCGCCAGTGGGCGCATGTGGGGCGACGGGCACGACCCCGAGGATGGCAACTGGCACTTGGAAATCGACGGCAAGGAGGAGCAGTGCTGGCAGGGCGACGGCCAGCGCAGAAAGGCGGGGACCGTCGTGAAGATCCTCCATGGCACCGGCCAGTTTTTTCATCAACGGGAGGGAGGTGATCGATTTCTTGAAGCACAACCCGACGTGGTGGCTCAAGGCGGCTGAGCCGGTTCTGTGCTTGAGCGAGAGGAGCAATTTCGACATCATCGTGAAGGTGTACGGCGGCGGCGCCAGCGGCAAAGCGAGACCAGTTCACACCTTGTCTTGGCGAAAGTTCTGGCGGAGTGTTATTGCTAGTGGTTCCCGCCGATAAAGCGGGCCCAGGAGTTCACCAGGGACTGGCGCATGCAAGGCCCGCGAGCAGAAGCCCCACTACAGGCGCCGAGCGGCGTCTGGGGTTCTGCAGGGTCCCGCCGCCTCCTCCGCCTCCCGCCCTGGTGCTGCTGGCTCGATCCGTCTGCTCTTCTCCATCCGCATCCTCCGTTCTCTACTGGCTCTGGTCTGCGCGACGCCCGCGGCTCCTCAGCATCACAAGCCCTCGTGGGACAAACAAATTATACCTGTGATGCAGAGCCGGGCGTCCGCCAACGCTCAAAACAGTCCGGATGGTCGACTTGGCCTTGCTGATGGAGGGGGTGTTGCCCGAAGCTGCTATCGCAGGCCCAGAGGTTGACACCAACACCAATATCGGTGGTGTTCCTCCTCCGAGGGAAGAGGATCCCGATCTCGGTGATGGTGGTAATATTCTGACTTCCAAGGTGACCGAAATATTGCCACCAACACCCAAATCGAGGATCATCTTCCCCCTGTGGAGGCAACCCCCCGTGTTGGTGTTGGTGCCAATTTCCAGGCCTCCAGTGCAGGTAGCCGCCGTCCTGAGAGCCTCGCGCGCCAGCGGGTCCATCACCCAAGTCTTGGCCCTCCCGCCCGCCATCAAGAAAGCATGCAGCGAGGCCACTCATGCCCTGGCAGGGTTCTTGCAGGAGGGTCTGGGCACCTCGGGCAGGACCTCAGGCTTGTCCGCCCGCATCTCCCCGCCGACGGTCTCAAAGCCCTGGAGTGGTAGTCACCGCACCACCGCAGGAGCAACAACGTGTAGGTCCAGTACTTCTCCAGTGGCTCCCTCACGACAAAGGCCGAGGAGCAGGAACAGCCAAGATGCGAAAGCGAGCGAGCCCGGGGGTCCACTAGGGCCAGCCACCAGGCCCCAGTTGCGCTCCGCCCTCCACGCCTTCTGCAGTAACTCGCTCGGCAAATCACGGCAAGTCCTCCGGAGGCAACATGCAACACCAGTTGAATATGGGCTCGGCGATCGCCACGCAAGCAGGGTGCTGCCAGACGCCATGCTAGCCACCAGGTGGAGAGCAGCCCCCAGGATGCTCACGCCGCAGGTGACAGCGGGGCCGACGGCCGCGCGGGCAATTTTCTTGAACGTGGATTCCAATGACGCGAGCCTCTTGAAGTGACAGATGCGCTTGCGCATGGCCTGGCCACGTTGGAGAACGCCGCGGTGCCGCACGGGCTTGCCCGCAGCCACCTCGAGGCCAAGCAACTCCAGCCACGACTGAGATCGAAAGCCATATTGGCGAAGGGGATCAGCAACGCGAGTCGCCGTCCCAGCGATCAGGGCCGTTAGCGTGGCCTTTGCGCGCACTACGCAAGGTACCGTTCAGCAGCTTGACAATGTCCGTCGAAAGCCGATGTAAGGTCCGCACCTGGACACTGATCTGCAACGTGAGGGCGTCCGCAAAGATGTTCAGGCAGCGGTCAATCCCGCGCGTCTGGTCCACGAACGCGCCCACGGGGGTGAGCGTAAGGAGTTGCACCAAGGCAATACCGAACTGGGAACCAGGCAACACGCCCTGGCCGACCACGACTGCGCAGGACGCCCCCTGCATCCACGCCAGCCTGCGGTGGGCCCCATGCATGGCGGGAGGTAGGAGGAGGTAGAGAGGAGGAGATGAAGGAAGGAGAAAGAGAAAGAGGAGGAGTTTATGGAAAGGGGACGAGGAGGAGAAGGAGGGTAACCAAAGAGAAGAAGCACATGATGAAACAGAATAGACTTTCGGAGATCCGCGTGGACCTCCGTTAGTTTACGTGTGTACTGTGTGAGTATAAATGCATATCTCCCGAATTGTCGTCCTTACGAAGGTGGTTATAGGCCCACACAGAAGGAACACGCGCTTTCAAGGACGTACACGACGACGACGATGACGACGACGCTTTCGTTTCGGAGGCTTCTGAGCGTTTCTGGGGGCTCTCGTCGCCGCGGGGACGGCTTCTGGGAAGGGCCAGGGTCCAGGGATCGATCTTGAGCGGCTTTCTCGGACCACGGCGACGAAGGTATAGTTGTGCTCCCCCGCCCCGTTCCTGGTCAAGATCGGCCCCCGGGCCTGTCCTCGAGCGCGCTCTGACCAGGATTTCGGGGCGGATGCGACCGCGACGGCGAGGGCCCTCCCGGAGACCAAGAGAGCGGAGAATAAAAAACGCCATGTGAAGGTCGTGGAGGTAAAGGCCCAGCTGACGGAGGAGGAGGTGCGCAGCATGAAGGTCGGGGATCTCAAGGCCCTGCTGAAGGAGCACGGGCTGAAGGTCAGTGGCCTGAAGGCCGACCTCGTCAAGCGCGTACTCGAGGAGCTCAGGTGAGTGGAGATTTTGTCAAATTGGCGCCTGGGCTCGCCCGCAGCATAGTGCTGCAGCGTTGGGCCCCAAAAACTGGCCGCACGCGGCGTGCCTGGCCTGGGCCAGAGCTGGATGCGCACGTGGCCGTTCGTCTTTCCAGCGTTCGGCCGTCGCGCGTCCAGGTCTGCAGGCCCGCCGCGTGTGTATCCAGCGCACGGCCTCTGCACGCCGCGTGCGAATCCGGCCGCGCGTGTTTCTAGCTTTTTGATGCTGCCACGCTTGCGCTGCGGTTTGCACGCCATCTGTCCCTCCTCCCCGGCCATCCTCCTCCCATGCCCTGCTCCTCCCTTGTCATCTGCCTCCTCCTCCCCCCTCCTGCCACTCCGATGGCCTTGCCCTCCCCCTGCCCTGCTCACTCCGTTTCCCGCTCCCTTACTTTTTTGGTGCACCCTTTTCCCACTGCTTCTATCTGGAAGATGTCCTGGCCTCCCCGCGTTGTCATTCTACACACAGGGTTGCAGTATTAATATATATATATATATATATATATATACACATATATATAAATATAGATGTACCTATATATATATATATATCTTTAGAAATGTAGACTTAATTATTCTTACGGATAGGACCACCCTACGGGTGATAAGGAGGTCGGGGGGGAAGGGGGAAGCGGTCGATGTGCGATGACTCCCACCTGCCGCAGGCGGCAGCGACGCTGACGATGACGCCAGACTCTGCCAGCGACAGGTAGTGATGATGCCGGCGGTGCTGTCGATGGCGAGGCGGTGGCAGTGGCAGAGGCGATGGCGGGCACGATCTTCATTTCTCGATCGTTGTACCGATCGATTTATCAATCGATCCATCTATCCATATACATATATATATACATATCGGTCCATATATCTATCTATAGATTGACCTCTCTATTGTGTAAACCGTCCGGGCAAACATCGGGTTAACCGTCGGGACAACCATCGGGACAACCATCGGGACAGCACTCGGGCCAACCATCGGGACAGCCATCGGGACAACCATCGGGACAACCATCGGGTCAACCATCGGGACAACCATCGGGACAATCATTGGGGCAACCATCGGGACAACCATCGGGACATGCATGGACACAACCATCGGGACAATCATCGGGACACCCATCGGGACAACCATCGGGACAACCATCGGGGCAGCCATCGGGACAACCATCGGGACAACCATCAGGACAACCATCGGGACAGCCATCGGGACAACCATCGGGACAACCATCGGGTCAACCATCGGGACAACCATCGGGACAATCATTGGGGCAACCACCGGGACAACCGTCGGGACAACTATCGGGACAACCATCGGGACAACCATCGGGACAACCATCAGGACAACCATTGGGACAACCATCGGAACAACCATCGGAACAACCGTCAGGACAACCGTCGGGACAACCATCGGGACACCCATCGGGACAACCATCGGGACAACCATCGGGCCAACCATCGGGAGAAGCATCGGGACAACCATCGGGACAACCATCGGGACAAGCGTCGGGACACCATCGGGACAACCATCGGGACACCCATCGGGACAACCATCGGGACAACCATCGGGACAACCATTGGGACAACCTTTGAGACAACCCTCGGGACAGCCATCGGGGGCCGCTCCCGGCCGGGGGGGTGGCGGGGGGGGCGGGCGACCTTCTTGGCTCCATGTGGGCTTCACAATTGCAGGACATCGCGCAGCTTCGCCTTGCCCGCACGCGCGACACGAACCGAAACCGAAACCGATCTCCCCGTTGGAGTCAGTTCCGCTCACACCTCCCAACCTCCGAGATATGTATACATATATATATACATATATATATATATATATATATATATATATATATCAGAGTGAGGGGGCCGAGCGGTCATTTACTGTCCCTGGGTGCGTGGCTGAAGCCGGAATCCGTGGTGAGGAGTCTGTTTGTTGCGTGATTGTTGACGTTGTTCTTGTTGTTGCTGTTGTTGAACATTATTTATTCTAAAGAATAATTATTGTTGGGCCCCCTGGTGCGCGCCCCCCCTGCGCCGCCTAGGCCGCAGCTACATTTTCATCATTTTCGTGAGGAAGCCTCAGAAAAGAGGGTGTGTACAGGATCCGGTTGTTTTGTTGTAATCCGCTTTCCCTTGCAAAAAACAATAGAAAATGACATTTCTTGTTCTAATATAATCAAATTTCAAGAATCCCTTGCAAAAAATAAGGTAAAGTGGACATTCGCGCGCGCAAGACGAAATCCTTCCAAAACCTTAGTGTTCGCAGCGATTTTAACATAAAAACATCAAAAAACCAATGGTTTTTCAACAAAAAAATGTCAAAATCTCATCCCGCGCGCTCTTGCGGATTCGTAGGAAACCCAACACTTTTTAAACATTTCTGTCAAACGGGCTTTTGCGAGCAACTTTTTCGAACTTCTGCGACAACGGTTGCGCACCTGCCAGGGCCATCATCCCTGTCAAATAATACCATGCGGGACACATTCGTTTTTTCTTCGCGCGCGCACGCCGTCGTCGTCGGCCGCGGGGCCCTGAATAGTAGCCACGGTCGTCCGCATGCCACGAAGTGAAGTGTCCGAACGTCATAGGGCGGGAAGCTGGGTGTGGGTGGTGGCGAAGAGTCGTTTGGAAATTTGGTAGAGCTTGAACCGGCCCCCCCACAAAGTGGGGGTATTGCCCGCCTCCTATGAAAACCCTGGCACTGGTGAGAACGGAGTGTCCCCACGTGCTAGTAATTGTTGTTGTTGCTGTTGTTGTTGTTGGTGTTGGTGTTTGTTGTTTTTTGTCGTCGTCCCCCCCGCGACCCCGCGCGACCCACCCCGCGACCCACCCCGCGACCCACCCCGCGACCCACCCCGCGACCCACCCTGCGACCCACCCGCGACCCAACCCGCGACCCACCCGCGACCCACCCCGCGACCACCCCGCGACCCACCCGCGACCCATGCCGCGACCCACCCCGCGGCCCAACCCGCGACTTACCCTGCGATCACCCCGCGACCCACCCGCGACCCACCCGCGACCGATCCACATTGGTTTTAAAATTAAACCGGCGCTTGCGGCGGGCTCGCTGCATAATTTGTGAAACTTTTGCGCCTGCGGTGGGCTTCTCCAGAGTCTCGCAGACTGCCGACGTCCGCCTCCCTATTGTCATCCGCATCTGCGGGGTGCTCTATATATATATATATATACAGATAGATACACACATGTATGTATATATACACACATATAGATACACATATATGTATACACACACGTATATATTTATCAATATATATATATATATATATATATATATATATATGCATCTATATGTATGTCTATATTTTTATTTATATATATACATGAAGTCAGAGTGAGGGGGCCGAACGGTCATTCATTGTCCATGAGTGCGTGGCTGAGAAGGAAATCCGTGGTGAGGACTGTGTTTGTTGCGTTGTTGTTGTTGTTGTTGTTGTTGTTGGTGTTGTTGTTGCTGTTGTTTGTTGTCGTCGTCCCACCCGCGACCCTCCCGCGACCCACCCGCGACCCACCCCGCGACCCACGTGCGACACACCCGCGACCTACCCATATTGGTTTGACGAAAAAACTGGCGCCTGCGGCGGGCTCGTTGTATAAGTTGTGAAACGTTGGCGCCTGCAGCGGGCTTTTCCAGAGTCTTGCAGACTGCCGACGTCCCCACCGCCCCCTCACTCTTATCCGCATCTGCTGGGTCGAACGGTATGTCCTATTTGTCGTTTGCAAGCGTTCAAATTAGTGTCCTGGTACAACGTCGGCCTCATTTTAGGATCGGCGCTTTGCTCCCATCGTTCAGAATGGCGCCTTCGCCCCAGCGCGGGCCACTTTTCTGGATCTGAGTCCTTCCTCATCGTTGTCGCCCGGCTCTTTTCCCCTCCCCCGCGTTCCCTGATCAGTCTGCTCCTCCTGCTCCACTTCCTGCTGCTCCTGTTCCTCCTTGTCCTCCTTCCTCATTCTCTTCTTTCTCCTGCTCATCCGCCATCTCCTCCGATGTACGCAGCTTCGATTTTCTAATTGCGTAGAGTGCAGTGGGTCCTCTTGGGGGGTCCCGGTCTGATATGACGCGTGTGCGCGGATAGGCTTCAAAACAGCGCAATGGGAAGAGATGGGTGGGACGGCCAAGATATCTGACGGCCTGAGCACACCCAGCTTGTCCCCTTGCCCCTTGCCTTCCTCTTCCGTTCCCTCCCCTTTGCGCCCTCTCCTCACCCGCAGGCAGTCATCTGTTCCCAGGTTGGCTGCGTCATTCCCTGCTTTCACATGTTGTTCCTTGCTTGGTCGGCCGGGGAAACAGGCAGTACGAATGAAGCCCCGGATTGCCCCCCCCCGCGGCCCGCGGTGGTTGTCCCGTGGGTTGTCTCGATGGTTGCCCCGATGGTTGTCTCGTGGGTTGTCCCGATGGTTGTCTCGTGGGTTGTCTCGATGGTTGTCCCGATGGCTGTCCCGATGGTTGTCTCGATGGTTGCCCCGACGGTTGTCCCGATGGTTGTCTCGTGGGTTGTCCCCATAGTTGTCCCGATGGTTACCCCGATGGTTGTCCCGATGGTTGTCCCGATTGTCCCGATGGTTGTCCCGGCGGTTGTCCCGATGGTTGTTCCGATGGTTTGTCCCGATGGTTGTCCCGATGGTTGTCCCGATGGTTGCCCCGATAGGTAGACAGGTAGATAGATAGGCAATTATATAGATAGTTAGATAAATAGTTAGATAGCTAGATATATATTTATTTTGATAGATAGATAGATCGTGCGGTTGTCCCGTGGTTGTCCCGTGGTTGTCCCGCGGTTGTCCCGTGGTTGTCCCGGGGTTGTCCCGTGGTTGTCCCGATGGTTGTCCCGATCGTCAGATAGATAGTTAGACAGATCGTTAGATAGATAGATAGATAGTGGAATCGTTAGGCAATTGGTTAGATCGGTAGAGAGGTATTTAGATAATTAAATCGATATTTTGATAGTTAGATAGGTAGATTGATAG